GCTGGACATTGATGAGGAGGCACTGATGCTGCTGCATTGATATGCAGCACTGATGGGCACTGATAGGCAGCACTGAAGGGCACTGACTGGCGGTACAGACTGACAGCACTGACCTTCGGCACTGCTGGGCACTGATGGGTGGAACTGCTGGGCAGCACTGATGGGTGGCACTGATGGGCAGCACTGATGGGCATCACTGTTGAGCACTTTTGGGGTTGCACTGATAATCAGAGCAGTGATAATCAGTGCCCTGATTATCAGTGCAGATGTCTCCTGTGAGAGTTGCAGGTTATCGGCAGTACTTTGCTGTGACAGTGTGAGGAAAGTTCTGCCATTAACTGGCAACTGTATTTACTTTGTGATCAGCTGTGTCACTGGGCACAGCTGATCATGTGGTAAAAGACTGCTGTGATTGGCCTTTTACTATGTCACATGATTAGCTGTGTCTTTTGGACACAGAGATCACAGACAGGGCCAGGTGCGCACTGCTGGGGGTGTGGGGGGGGGGGGGGGGGGCGCGTTCTGGAAGGATGTCATATGATGTCCTCCCAGAACTGGAGAACCATGCTACAGCCATCATTCGGCAATACCATGTTTGTAAAGTGATTAATGAGACATTATGGGTTTATTAGTTTGTGCTCCATTAGCTTTTTCCTTGGTCAAGCAGCAAAGGAAAGCGACAGCTAAAACTGGAAGTGACATAGTACACATTGCTTTTGGGTTCTTACTAGCAAATGGAATTTCACTGATTTATCTCCTTTCTATCTGGTGATACTCACCATGCAGTGATATATGCTGGAGGGGGTTCTTGCCATTCCTGTTACACATTTAGAAGACAAGCAAAGCACATTAATCCATTGCTGCACAATTTATTAATCTATTATGCATTTTCTTATTTTAATTTTACAGAAAAAAGAGATATTCTGGAAAGGAAACTGTGACAGTCGCTGTACATGTCAAGGAAACAATCATGTGAGCTGTACAACTCAGACTTGTAATCCTGAAGAAGTTTGCAAAGTACAAAATGGAATCAAGGCTTGTTTCCTTGCTGATACCTCCATCTGCCATATCTATGGTGATCCACACTATGTAACATTTGATGGCAAGTTATACCATTTCCAAGGAGCCTGTAATTATACAGCTGTGGAGACCTGTGGAAACACAAGTGTGTACTTCTCAATCACTACAAAAAATGAGCATAGAGGAAGCTTAACCTGGACAGCTATAAACTCAGTTGGTGTCAGCTTCAATGACCTTTACATCATTCTGGGCAACAATAAAGTGACCGAGGTAAATTATAAAAATCAGAAAAATGCACTCACATTATTATTTTTGTTTCTGGTGATTATTTGCTGCATCTAGTTTTTTTTCTCTATCTTTAGATTAATGGACTCATTGTATCACTGCCTATGAACCCAGCACCTGGAATCCTAATACGTTTAAGTGGATCCTTTGTTGTTGTGCAGACTGACTTTGGTCTTGAGGTTAAGTTTAGTGGTGACCATGAACTCTTTGTTAAAGTAAATGAGAACTTCAAAGGAAAACTGTGTGGACTCTGTGGCACTTATAATGGTAACCAACAAGATGATTTCCTGACACCTGAAGGTTTACTTGCTCCCACATCCAATGACTTTGGAAACAGCTGGCGTGTTCCTGATGACAATTGGATGTAAGTACAAATAAAAAAGTTACCTTTTATTTATTAAGGAGAAGCATACATTCCGAGTGCACTGTTCAAATTGTCTTATTGTATCATCATGATTTTAATCCCTCGAAACAAAAAACAAATCCTGCTGATATTCCTGATGGAATGTAATCATAAAAGAAGCATTGAATCATGCAATTATTTGCCTCTTTAGATGTGAGGATGACATTGTTGATCCTTCGCCATGTGATCCCGCTGAAGAGATGAAATATGAAGATGAATGTAATCTAATATTATCAAGCAATGGACCTTTCAAGGACTGTCACCCCCACATTCTTCCTCAGATATATTTTGAGAACTGTGTGTATGACTTGTGTGCAACTGGAGGAAATGAAGACCAGTTCTGCAATGCTTTAGAGGCCTATGCTGCCGCTTGTGAAAATATTGGTATCAGCATTGCCAACTGGAGAGAGAACACCATCTGCCGTAAGTGAAAACAACCTGTTTTTTAAATAATTTCAAATATATTCAATACCAAATAGTTTTTTTTTTTAAATAACAGGAATTACATCAACCACTACAACCATTAGTCCAATCGTACCGTGTAAATTATTTTCACATCTATTTTAAAAGATACCTGATACCTGACTGTACCAATATAGGCTTTTATCGCTTAGGTAATATGCAGAACATGGTAACCCTGTAAATCAGGTCTTAAGTACCATACCGGATGTCAAGAATGAAAGAGATTGTATGTGTGACGTTTGTGGAAATAGGGTAATAAAATTATTTCTAGTGGCCATACACCAGTAATATTTTGTTTAATAAAAATTGTCTTCGAAGTGTTCGTGTTTCTAATGGTTAGCTGGGTCAAAGCAAAGTTTGTTTTTGACCATGATGACCATGATTTAAAGGAGAAGGAAAAAACAAAATGATAACTGCAAATGTGGTTTTCATTTTGGAAAAATAATACATATTGTAATGAACATTATCTAGGCACAAAATAAAACTGTTTAATAAGTCTAGGATTCCATTCAAGTAATTAATGAGTTGAAGTTTATTTAAAACTACTGATAACTGGGACACATAAAGACATGAGTTGTCCATGGTCCTAAAAAAAAATTCACCGAGCTGCAGATAGAATATATTCATAGCACATACAAATGTGTATATTGTATATAAGCTGTATATGTCCCATAAAGTAGCCCATAAAGCAGGGGTAGGAAACCTTTCAGACGTTGAGATCTACCTGGACAACATAGAGGAAATCAAAGATTCCTGTGGTAAGGGGGAGCATCTTTAAAAAAAAAAAAAAAACTACCAAGACCCCGATAAAAAACACAGCATAGTGTCCTGTGCCCCCAACTCACAGTATTGTCCTCCTCTCTTCTTCACATCATCTCCCATAGTAGTGTTCTTTGTACCCCCCCACAGTAGTTTCCCTTCCTCCCAGTAGTGTCCTCTGTCCCCTCCCACACTGTAGAGTCTTTTGCCTCCCCATAGCAGTTACCTGTCTCCTTCACATCACCCCCCCCCACTATACTGTCCTTTGCACCCCCCTCCACCCCACAGTAGGGTCCTCTGCCCCTCCCCTTATAGCAGTGTCCTGTGCGCCCTTCAACCATTCTCCAACTGTAGTGTTCTCTGTCCCCCCCCCCCCTGAAATGTAGTGTCCTCTGTCACCTTTACACCCCTCCCCCGTAGTGTTATCTACCCCTAATTCAGTGTCCTCTGTCCCTTTCACAAACCACCACTGTAGTGTCCTCTGTCCCCTTCACACAATGCACCCCACTGTAGTGTCCTCTGTCCCCCAATGTAGTGTCTACTGTCCCCTTACACCCCCACCCCCCCACTGTAGTGTCCTCTGTCCCCCCCAATGCAGTGTCCTCTGTCCTCTTTACATCCCCCCCACTGTAGTGTTTTCTGTCCCCTTTGGGCCCCCCGTAGTGTCCTCTGCCCCCCCTGTACAGTGTCCCCTGTCTGCTTCACATGTCCTCTGTCCTCTTCATACCAGTGTGTAGGTAGCACTCTCATACCTTACACTGGTGTTATTTGTATTATTTTTTTACCAAAAATATGTAGCAGAATACATTTTGGCCTAAATTTATGAAGAAAAATAATATTTTTTTATAGCAGAAAGTAAAAAATATTGTTTTGTTTTTTTTAAAATTTCAGTCTTCTTTCATTTATAGCACAAAAAATAAAAAATCTATAGGTGATCAAATACCACCAAAAGAAAGCTCTGTTTGTGGGACGAAGATTATATACATTTAATTTATGTACAGCTTTGTATGAGTGCACAATTGTCAGTTAAAGTAACTCAGCGCAGTATAGCAAAAAATGGCCTGGTCATGAAGAGGAGTACATCTTCCGGAGCTCAAGTGGTTAATACTAGCTTCTTTGTCTAAAATGTGACCTGCGCTGACTTCTGAAAAAACATAAAGCATTCTTCTTTTATTTAATCTAGTTACACTTAATATAATTGGTATCCTCAAGGAAGTACCCATGATCTCATTCTGGTAGATAAGCTGATACCTCCTCTTAGAAGTAGAGCTGTCAGTTCTCAAAGGTGCTAGAGTAAGCTTAAATAGTTATTTATTTCTCACTCATGGGCGATTCCTGGTGTCATCCAATCAAAATGCTAACAAAACCCTCAAAAGGTACACTCAAATAAAAAAAAAATAAGATCGTCAAGCGTCATTACAGTTAGTGTAATTGATTATATGTACTGTATAATGAAAAAGTACAGTTTATTTTATTTTCCTTGCATGTGATTAGGTATACTCTGCAATGTGATTTTTTACCACATCCACTAAGCTAAAGGAAAATTCCCTTGAAAAGTAAATAGCCTACATGACTTTTGTAAATCAACCCCATAGTTTCCTTCTAACTAACCTGAATAGCACAAGTATTCAACTTAGTAGTTTAGCTTTAGTTTTGTTAGCAAAAAAATTACTCTTATAGCAGCAGAACATAATGTTCCTACTATACTTCTACCATAAAAAGAAGATTAAAATTACGATAGTAGGTCAAATGTATGTTAAAATGTGCTGATTTTTACTGTATTAAGCACCCTTTTAGGACAGCCTCTATGTCTATGGCAACAACAATTAAAATTAGTAGCAGGTACTGTAGATGGAAAGGTAAAAGGTGGGCTGTTGTATAACTTAAGCTTCTTTAAGTTCAATGTACAGTACATGCCTGTATTTTCAGCAATGTTGTTGTAATGAGACCAGAGTAATACAGGTGGTTTTTTTTCCTAATATATTTACCTAAGCTACACTGCAGTTGCGGTTGATTCTACAATGGCTTTAGCTTTACATTCCCCTTCTCTTTTTTTTTAGAAACATTCTCAACTACTTCTACGACAACTACCACAAGACCTATTACTCCAGGCCCACTGCCACCAGGTAAACCAATTCACTGGAAATCATTTTATAAAATACATGGTATGTTTTACAATCTGTTATGTTTTAAAGTATGTATCTTCATAAAGACATGAAGAGCATACATGTGTCTCACAAAACTGTTCTGATCTTAAAAAAAAATGCAAATGAGTGCAGTTGTTTTGGTAGAAGAGGCAAACTGCACAATGTCTACAGTTACAGAGAGGACTTTATACACTCATCTACTGCTTGCTTAGAATATGTAAATATTTCAAAGCATAACCTTGTAATTAGGTCATTCTAAATTTAAGGTTCTAGCATATGCAGATCATTTGCCTTTAACCATTGCACAGTTAGAGAGACAGCCCCACACCCCAAGTTTTTAATCTAAAATATAGAAAAAATATATGTTCAAGTCAGACATTTTAGGGATAATTGTGTCTAAGGAAACAAAAAGTAATGTTAAAGATCAATTTCATTCTGACTGGAAGATGGACTGTCCAGTTTCAATGGTAGTGAGCCCTTGTAGATGATTGATTTGGGGTTCCCCAGAGCGTGGAGTCTAAGCCCCAGCCTGCTTCTTCACCAGGGCCCCTGATAGTGGGGATGGACTTGCAGCAAGCCAGGTTGTGCCCCCCAGGTACACCCAGCTGAGAATGCGGAGACAGCTCACATGAGTACTATAGCAGGAGACAACAGGAAATCCTGTAGACAAGCCAAGGTGATGACAAGTGGAAAACAAGCACAGTTGGTGGACGAAGCTGGGCTCGGTAGTCAGACCCAGGATACAGGAGTAGCAACAAACGGGAGCTCGGAGAACTAAGAAGTTGCTCAGGAAAAGTGGGCTAGACTGAGCATGTCTTATATAGACAAGCAAACTAGGAGGTGGACCAGGAAGCGATGGAATAGCAGGCAATGCCCATAGGTGAGCACAGACAAACCACACATGTGAAAGGAATCAGGGTAGGCAAAGCACTGCAGCAAGGAGGTAAGAATATAGAAAATTCAGGCTAACTTGTGACATGGACTATATTTTTTACTTGGTGCTCATTTACAAAAACCTTGTTTGAAATAAATGATGCTGAAGCTCTAATTTTACTTCCAACATTATGGGTGACTGGAGAAGAGCATCCAAAAAAGTGTCACTTGATGAATTTTATAGTTGTTTATCGAAGATAAAAGTAAGAAAATAGTGCCTATGTACAGTATATACTAGCCCTGAAAAAGGGAGGGCAATTCCTCAGAAACACATTGGCTCTACTTGTTTACTTTTATCTTCAATAAACAATTATAAAATTAAACAAATGAGAGTTTTTTTTGGACATTGGGCGTTCTCTCCAGTTACCCAAGTGGTCCCTGCAGTAACGCCTCCCTTGTCGCTATCAGAGCGGTAGCAGCCCTAGACCCTAATGGAGTCTACTACCCACTACTTACAATTAGGATATAACCAATTGCAAGAAATTTCCTCTATACCCTCCTCATAGTAACTTACAGCTACGCAACCCTCAGCTGCAGCAGTCCAGCGCTGTCTTTCACCCAAAGTTGATTACAACATTGTGAGTTGCAATAATCAATATGATGCTTCTTTTAAAAGTGTTGTTTTTATTCTAAATGTATCTATTAATATGTCTGCTTTTTCCTATAAGGATTGAAAGAAGAAATTGTTTTTTTAATGGAAAAAAATGATTGTTTATGATATTTTAGCTAGAGTATAAGGAATGCAGAAATTACAAATTTGAATAGATGTTATTGCAGTGTAGGCATCATAATAATTATTATCGAATGACATGCTTTGAAAACTAAAAACCACTGGGTGAATATTTGAAAGACTGTCTTGGATATAGAAACAATATATGTACAGTATGTAGCCATGGACATGAGGAACATGACGTGCTTGTGGATTGTAGTGGACCTCGATATTTGTGTAAACCCCAAAATATATATTTTTCAATGCTGGTGTTTTTTTCAACTATATGTTTTTACTTGATGTATAAATAAACTTTATCATTTTATCTATACAGTGTTCTTTATTATACAGTTGCAAGAAAAAGTATGTGAAACCCCTTGGGATTACGTGGAGTTTTGCATGAATTGGGCATATAATGTGCTCTGAACGTCATCTAAGTCACAACAATAGAAGAACACAGTCTGCTGAACATAATACTACACAAACATTAGATGTTGCCATGGTTTAATTGCACATAACATGTAAACATTCACAGTGCAGGGAGGAAAAAGTATGTGAACCTTTGGACTTAATAACTGGTTGACCCTCCTTTGGCAACAATAACCTCAACCAAATGTTTCCTGTAGTTGCAGATCAGACCTGCACAACGATCTGGAGTAATTTTGGACCACTCCTCTTCACAAAACTGTTTCAGTGTAGCAATATTCTTGGGATGTCTGGTGTGAATCGCTCTCTTAAGGTCATGCCACAGCATTTCAATCGGGTTGAGGTCAGGACTCTGACTGGGCCACTCCAGAAGGCGTATTCTGTGCTGTTGCAGCTATTGTTTTGTTGAATTACTTGTATGCTTTGGATCATTGTCCTGTTGCATCACCCATCCTCTGCGGAGCTTCAGTTGGTGGACAGATGGTCGTACGTTTTCCTGCAAAATGTCTTGATAAACTCTGGAATTCATTTTCCCATCAATGACAACAATCCGTCCAGGCCCTGAGGCAGCAAAGCAGCCCCAAACCATGATGCTCCCTCCACCATGTTTTACAGTGGGGATGAGGTTTTGATGTTGGTGTGCTGTGCTTTTTTTCTCCACACATAGTGTTGTGTGTTCTTCCCAAACAACTCAATCTTGGTTTCATCTGTCCACAGTATATTTTGCCAGTAGTGCTGTGGAACATCCAGGTGCTCTTTTGCAAACTTCAAACGTGCTGCAATATTCTTTTTGGACAGTAATGGCTTCCTCCGTGGTGTCCTCCCATGTACTCCATTCTTGTTTAATGTTTTCCTTATTGTAGATGTGTCAACAAAAATGTTAGCATGTGCCAGAGATTTCTGTAGGTCTTTAGCTGACACTCTGGGATTCTTCTTTCCCTCATGCAGCATTCTGCGCTGTGCTCTTGCAGTCATTTTTACAGGACGACCGCACCTAGGGTGAGTAGTAACAGTGCTAAACTTTCTCCATTTGTAGACAGTCTGTCTTACCGTGGACACATGAACATCAAGGCTTTTGGAGATACTTTTGTATACCTTTCCAGCTTCATGCAAGTCAACAATTCTTGATCGTAGGTCTTCTGAGAACTCTTTTCTGCGAGGCATGGTTCACATCAGACAGTGCTTCTTGAAACCAGTAAACCCAAAACAGGTTTGTGTTTTATAAGGGCAGGACAGTTGTCAGCAACACGTCCAATATCATCACACTGATTGGAGTCAAGGTTGGCTCACCCCTGGCTCCAATTAGATCTGGGAAAAGTCATTAAGCTAGGGCCTCACATACTTTTTCCTCCCTGCACTGTGAATGTTTACATGTTATGTGCAATTAAATCATGGCAACATCTAATGTTTGTGTAGTATTATGTTCAGCAGACTGTGTTCTTCTATTGTTGTGACTTAGATGACGTTCAGAGCACATGTTATGCCCAATTCATGCAAAACTCCACGTAATCCCAAGGGGTTCACATACTTTTTCTTGCAACTGTATATCTATACTGTATGTTCCTAAAAAAACTCCATGGCTATATACTGTACATATATTGTTTATATGTTGAATTTAGGGCCTAGTTCATATAGCACACAGTATCTCGGTTGGTTGATTTATTTGTATTGATATAGAGACTCTGTTTTCATAGAACATTCCAAAATGTTAGAGTAAAAAGAATAACATGGTAAATGGTCTAATTATAAAACCTACATACAAAGTTTTGTGATGTTACCTAAAACTCAAATTATTTTACATACATGGTCTCCCACTTTCTCCTTAACAGTTTGAGGTGTGTTTTTCTTTCTTTTTTTATGCACTTATTTGTTTGTAGAAAAAGTACGTTTCTTTTTTGGTATGGTATTTGTAGTTTTTTTTTTTTATTTAGAGGGCCAGCATTAATAACTCAATTTGATTTTACTTCCTGCTGACCTATTTATCTCACTGAACTGGTCTGTCTGACTGAATAGATTCTTTACAGTCTTTAAAGATATCAAATATCCACTATGCATCTGTTAGGAAGAGAATATGTTATCTTTTTTGATAATGTTGAAAGTTTCATACTTATGATGATCACCTACCCTCCCCCCAGGATCCTGTGAGATTAGTGGCGATCCTCATTACTACACCTTTGACAATCAGGTGCACCATTTTATGGGCACTTGCATCTATACATTATCTAAACTCTGTGAAGTTGATGGACACCTGACAGAATTCAATGTTGAAGCAGCCAATGAGCACAGAGGAGGCAATACCAGGGTGTCTTATATCAGTTATGTCAACACTGATATAAATGGATACAGGATTACACTGGAGAAGAACAGAAATGTCAAAGTGAGTGTAAAATTGGGGAAACAAAACGATTTGTATGTATTTTTTTATCCCATTGTAACTCTTTTATCTTTGATCTTGTTTATCTTCCAATCCTAAATGTGTTTTATTATATAATTTTAATCCAGGTAAACAAAATTGCAGTAACCTTACCAGTAGCTCTACATCCAAACATTAACATCTTCCTTAGTGGACATGATGTACTGGTGACAACAGCTTTTGGTGTAAGTGTGCGGTTTGATGGAAACCATAGAGTGGTGGTGAATATTCCTGGGGAATATGCCAACAAAGTATGTGGAATATGTGGAAATTTCAATGGAAACCAAACTGATGACTTCTTAAACCCAGATGGAGAATTAGAGCCAGACTCTAACAGTCTTGGTAACAGCTGGCAGGTGGACAATGACACAAGGTGATTACAAGTCAATTATCCTAAATTCATATTGGTAAATCCATTGCTATAGAATAAAGGTCTTAGATCTTCTTAAAAACTATCAGAGATGCCTATCACTTAACTTGTCCCATGGTGGAAAAATCCAATGCAATATCAACAGAGCAAGGACAGTTGAAAAGACCAGAAACCTTAAACTGAGTATGCACAGTACAAAGTGATTGTTTAGTCTCCTTTATATTTACTGACAATGAGTCTACTTCACTCAAGCAAGTGATTAGAGTTACAGTGAATAGAAGGAAGGTAAATCTCAGCAGTTTTGGGGAAGGGGGTTGAAGGTAAGTGAACCTTTAGCTATGCCAAATATGAACAAAGTTCTGCTTTATGTTATGAGCTAAACCTATTTAAAGCAGAACTTCAATCTCTGACCGTTTTTAATCCTTATGCTGGTAGCATTAGTAAATAAATAGGAAAGTATATCATATTAAATTGGTATAATTTTTTTTTTTTTTTTTTAAGTTATATTAACTTTTGGTTTCAGGGCCTATGAAATGATGTCATACATCCCAGGAGCTTCCTAAATGGATTCTAGGAAGCAAATTCTACAAGATATATCTTCCCTTACTCAAGATGGCCACTGCCAGAAATGCTAGGGAGTGTTTTTCATTGTGATCTCTAAGTAAAATAAAGCATGGAGACAGTGTTAGGATAGATGAGTTTGCACTGAATATTAAAAATTAATTAAATAGCATTTTTGGTTTGTGGTGTTAAGATGCAGTGTAGTTCTGCTTTAAGGAAGGATTACTGTTTTTATGTTCCGTGTTAATTAGCTGGTTCAGTATTCAAATGTTTTATATTCAGTCAGTTATTTCATTCTCTAACACATTTGAAATTAAACCTTCTCTCAGTTTTTCAACTGCCACTCCAGTTCACGACTTTAGTTGTTCTGTTTCAAATGATTAACTGACATATAAATCAGACTTCATATCACATCCCTGATTTTTCCAGTTCTGCTTTCCTACTAACTGAACCTAAATATTTCTCATAGTTGTAGATCTGAATCTGAACATGAACCAAGCTGTACTGTTGATGAAAAGAATACCATTTCCAGCATCAGTTTCTGCGGAATGATAACTGATAAGGAGGGTCCATTCAGTGACTGCCATGGTGTTGTAAACCCAGTGATCTATTTCGACAACTGTGTCTATGACTTGTGTGAACTAAACCTAGATCCAAGGGCCTTGTGTGATAGTCTTCAGTCCTATGCACAGTCCTGCCAGTCTCATGGAATAACACTAGGTCCCTGGAGGAATGCCTCTTTCTGCCGTAAGTACAGAATAAAAGATTGCAGTTTGTGTTTTATTGTGGGACGGGGGGAGGGAATTTACCACTCTGTTGGTACTGATGATTGCTGGAACAAAAAGTATGGGGAAATCCTAATATTTAGGGATGTCACAAGGAGACGTTTTCCAATAGAGACAAGTATCCTGGTGACAAATGACTGTGAAGTGAAGAATTCCCCTAATGTTGGTGAGATTTTCTGTCACTCCCTGTTGCATTTCCAAGACAGGAAGTTTAAGAAATGCTCTCTAGTGGGAAAAAGACATAAAAAATAACGCAATGGGGCTATATTTCCCTTACGCTATTCTTAATGTAAAAAAAAGTGTGGGCTATAAATACACCATAAGGAAAAGGGCAGTATGTAAATTACAGTAACCTACAGCAAATAAACAGAACTCATGATTTGCCTTTAGAGATAATGATGATCATAACCCATGCTTATTCCTTTTTTTATTCAAATATTTTTTATTGAAATTTTTTTCAACAAATATAGTAACATGTAAAGAACAGAGAAACAATTCCACCATTCACCAATATAATATTGTATAAATTTATATAAAAGGTCGAATGATACTGGAACCAGTTTCAGTCAATTGTAAGACAACTAAGAACCATGGGGGATAAGGGGAGGAAAAGGGTATGGGGAGAGGGGAGGGTAGATGAAATTACATCAACAGGAACAAGTGTCTGAGCTAGAAGGGTAAAGAACAACAACATATCAGTCAGGATAATATTGTATACTCCGGAGAGGGTAAGTCATCAAAATTTACCTTTACATGATAAGTTGGCAATTGCAAATCTCTTTTCCATGTCGCATTGGTAATTTGTATAATTAATGACCATTGTTTTGAGGAGGGTGTAAGTGATTTCCCTAGTCTGGTGATATTATGTTTGGCGGCTAATAGAATATGAGAAACAATACAGTGGGATTTAGAAGGAATGTTGTTCAAGCCAATTTGGAATAATGCTAGGGCAGGGTCTGGGTGCACTGTGGAGCCTATTACTTCAGAAATTAGTTTAAAAATACTATTCCAAAATGATTGTAGGGAATTCCTTTTTTGATAGATGCCATATTTGTTCATTTATTGGCCCTTGGTTAACACCAGATAACTTATGTAAGGTTTTTTAGTAAGAACAGTAAAGCCTTTTTATAACAAGTCACACTTCACATCACTCAGTATGTTTCACTGACAAATAGACAGTGCCTCATGTAACTAGGCCATATTTAGATACCCATAAACCAAACTATATTGAAAATCAGAGCGATTTTTACATGAGTTTAGATTTCTACAGATGAAGCAACTTTCTGTATTTTGTCCAATATTCCGGTTTAAAATCCGCCACCATCTCAAGCTGGAACAAGTAAAATAACAGTCATTTGTGCTGTTTTTTTCTCATTATCCAGAGCTTATTTATCTTTTTGATATGAGGTCACCAACGTCTTCCTGTCCTGTCTCCATAGCATTTTTATAGCTTTCCTTTAGAAATGTGCTTTTTTTCAGACTTCTAATTTTATCTGCAGAATCCCTTCCAAGACATGTATTAGTACTGGGTGAATCTATTACGAGACTTCCTGAGTTCCCTGGCACAATGCTGAGCATGTCTTCTGACTAAGGGGTATTTAAGCTTCAGCCTTTGAAGTAGCTGTGCTGTGTCTTATTGCCTGCTAGTATTTTGCAAAGGGTTTTAATCTTAACCTGTGAGATTGTCTGACTGTTGCAGACTTGGATTGACCTGCCCAGTCACTTGAGTGCCACCTGCTTTTGGCCCCTACCTGGACCTACCTGGATCTACTTGATCTCTAGTTTTTCACCTGCCAATACCCTTGCCTTGACCTGACTACTTTCTTGCTTGCTGCCTTTGTTGACCCCTACCTGTATTTGTCACAAACCCCAGTAACTGTGCCATGAAGCAACACTCGCTCTTTCCTGCTGCCTGGGTAAGTGACTTGTAGCCAGTTAGTGACCACTAGCATTGCAGCCAATTTTCTGTAAGGCATAGTCCTGCTTGTACCCTTTGTCTCTTGTATATTTTTGCCTATAATCCCTGATTAAAATGGTCCTGTTGCTGGCTATTTTTATACTGTGGTATTTTATAATTTTTTATCCTTATTATTTTAAAAAAGTTCCAGTCTGTGCTCTTTGTCTCTTGTAAATTTAGGCCTAGCTTTGCTTTTTAAATATATCCTGCTGCTGGCCAATTTTACATTGCTGATTAATCTGTGTTCTTTGTCAATTATTGAAGTAAAACACCTGCCTGCAGTCATGCATCAATGACAGCCTCAGCAGACTACTGCCGAATTTGTATCCACCAGAAAAAAAGGGGGTCTATTACCTTTTGATTAAAGAGAATGCCTTGCTGAAATTCAGCTGCTGCATGTAAGCCAAGCTAATTGTACAGAAAATAATCAATTCCAAAGCCATACAAATCATACTGTTCTGTAACAGATATAACATATATCTATTTGAAAGTATAGTCAGATAGCAAATTGGTTACAGCTGGGCTTGCATTTACATATTAAAAGTGTAAAAATTACTCAAGACTGACAATAGAATTGACAGACTCTTTTTTTCTCCTCTCAATACTTACCTAGGTGGATGCAGCATCAGTCTGATGCTGCATCTGTCCCCCACCAGCTCTAAGGGTGGGCACTCACCGATCACATGATTGCTGAGTTTTCACAGCCACTCTGAGCAGAGAGTGGGACTGTCAGTTACCGTTGTCTGCTCAGTCCCCCAGCATTTACTGGGGCACTGGGCTGTGGAGGGGGAGGGAGCAGCCGGCTTAGGCTCTCAGCACTTTGAGAGGTTCCAGGTGCCGCTCCAGACTCTGGGGTGGATCCCAACTTTGAAGTCGGGATCTTTCCCCAGCCGAACCAGCTGAGTGACGTCAGCTGACAGCAGACTTCAGTGCTCTGTCAGCTGAAATTGGGTCACTGGAGTGCAGAACTAACTGCACTCCTGTGCTCCACAGGAGAAGCACAGCCAAAAAAGCTTTGGCTGTACTTCTTTAAGTAGCCCATAGATGAGTCTTTTTTTATTCTTTCAACCAGCCGAGGTGAAAAAAAGAAAAAAATACTGGATTACCCATCCACACACTTAGTGTGAATGGGGGAATCACTCCTGCTGAGGCATTGTATTCAGACAGAGGGAAGAGTTTCGCCATTATGAGAATACACAGATCAGCACAGCTGGCTATACCAGAGATGATAACTGTGTGGATATTTTCTAATAGGCTGGCTGTACAGAATTAGTAGATTGACTTCTGTACAATCAGCCTGGCCATACATGGATTGAAATTTGTCCTGTCCCTGCTGAACTGGCTGAATTGTGATCCATGTATGGCCAGCTTGAGGTATTTCAAAGTAAATCCTGTGTATTGTTTAACAACAAGCTCAGCAGATCAACAACATCAAAAGTGTCTGGTCAACCAATCAGCTTTCTCTACATCCTAGTAAATAGGTAGAAAAAAAGGTATTTTGAGGGAAGATTTAACTGCCAAGAAAGAGGATGCTGGAAGGAATGGCCCCAAGGCATTATATGGATGCATGCCCTTGCCTGAAAGACACACAGGTGTATATGTGGATCAGACATATTGTATATGGTGGATGTGGGGAAAGCCTAAATCTTTGATAAAATATGAACAAAAGAACGTAGTATTCTGGAGGGGACTCTTGGGGCTTCTGATAATTATATAATTTTGTTTATACCCTGTTGGATGTGTCATCTGTTGCTGGGATCTAGTAAATGCTACATTCTTTGGAAAAGACCCGACGTTGCCTTGAACTTGCTTAAAAAAGAGGAGTTCTACAGCTTTACTCCTTTTCTTCACAATAATGATTTACTATGATTATTATTATACAACAAGACACTTTCCAGGCTGTATGGTATTTTTGTTTTTATAATTTTGAATTGATGCATATTCCCCATAGCAGTGCCCAGATTCCCATGCCTATTTTACAGTATTAGTTTTCTATTAGCCCTAAAAATTGCCAGAATTTAACCATTTTAATATGGGGCACTTTCACCCCCTTCCTGTCCAAGCCAATTTTCAGTTTTCAGCGCTGTCGCACTTTGAATGACAATTGCGAGGTCATGCAAAACTGTTCCCATATGAAATTTTTATAATTTGTTTGAGACAGACAGAGCTTTCTTTTGATGGTATTTAATAACCACTATGCTTTTTTTGTTTTGCTACACAAAGGAAATAAATACCAAACATTTTGAAAAAAATATGTTTTCTTAGTTTCTGTTATAAAATTTAGCAAATAAGTAATTTTTCACTGATGTGTGCTGTTGAGGTTGCACTGATGAGCACTGATGAGGCTACACTGATGGAAGCTGGTGAGCCTGCACTGATGGGTGCTGGTGAGGCTGCACTGATGGGCACTGGTGAGGCTACACTGATGGGTGCTGCTGAGGCTGCACTGATGGATGCTGATGACTCTGAACTGATGAAGGTGGCACTGTTGGACACTGATGAGGCTGCACTGATGGGTGCTGGGGAGGTGGCACTGATGGCCACAGGTAAAGCGCACTGATGGGCACAGGTGAGGCTGCACTGATGTGCACTGATGAGGCTGCACTGATGAGGTGGCATTGATGGACACTGATAAGCTACATTGATGAGCACTGATGGGCACCGATGAGGATGCACTGACAAGACTACATTGATGGGCACTGATAGTCAGCACTGATGAGCACTGATAGGCAGCACTGATGGACTTGCACTGATTGGCACTGATAGGGCTAGTGCCCTGATTATCAATGTAAATGTGTACTGTCAGGATTGATAGTTATCGGCTCTCCTTTCCTCACACAGTGACAGCTGATAAGGAAAGGAAATGCTGATAACCAGCATTTGTTTACATGTGATCAGCTGTGATGGACAGATTGGCCTGGGCAGATTGGCTCAATCTGTCCAATCACAGCATTTGTTTACATGTAATCAGCTGAGATTGGACAGACTGGTCCAGACAAATTGGCCAATAATATTTTTAAACATAATTTTATTACTATGTGCCTGATGATTTTCATAATAAATAAGTAAAACAGGTCAAGACAGTATGAGCTTTATTTTTAGTGTTCCCCTAAGTACTAAGTAGTGAATATAAAAGTTTTTATGATGGTAATAACTTTCATGTTTTATGTACTTTTTCTTAATTACAATGTAACATAAGTTCCAAACCAATTTGACATGTTCTAATTAGTTTCTTGTTCATCATTATATTTTTATACAGCTCTGAAGTGTCCACAAAACAGCCATTTTGAGGTCTGTGGAACAGCCTGTCCATCTACTTGTGTCAATCCAGGTTCATCAATAAACTGTCATCTCCCCTGTACAGAATCCTGTGTCTGTGATCCTGGCTATGTCCTGTATGATAAGAGATGTGTCCAAAGCCACCAATGTGGATGCTGGGATAATGACAAGCATTATCCTGTTGGCTCAGAGTTCTGGACTGATGATACCTGCTCCACTAAATGCAGATGTCCCCTCTGAAGGAGGCAGTTTAGTTTGCAACTCTGCTTCATGTCCACCTGGAAAATACTGCGGTATAACAAATGGAGTTCCTGGCTGCTTTGATCTCACATTTGGTAACTGTGTAACTTGGGGGGATCCTCACTATGACACCTTTGATAAGGAAGTTCATCATTTTATGGGAATATGCACATATACTCTTTCCAAGCTTTGTACCAATTCCACATCTCTGCCATATTTTAACATTGAAGCAAAAAATGAACATCGTCATGGGATTACAACAGTATCATATATACAGAAAGTTATGGTGGATGTTTATGACCATAAAATAGGCATTTTTAAAGCTAAGCCTAGTCAAGTTCTGGTAAGTTTCTTGGAACATTCTAACATTTTATTCATAATTTTAACATTGCATTTAGCTGCTTTAATATGTTATGCATATTTATCATTTACAGGTGGACCACATCTGGAGAAATCTTCCAGTCATCTTGGCCAATGGATCCCTAACAGTGAAGCAAAGTGGCCGATATGTTATTGTGGAAACGGATTTCCATCTCACAGTGTCTTATGACACTGACCACACAGTAGACGTGAAGGTCCCAACTAATTATTTCAACCAAACCTGTGGAATGTGCGGCAACTTTAATGGCATCAGGCAGGATGACTATTTGATGCGCAATGGACAGCTAGCTCAGAACTCAAATCAGCTGGGGGACAGTTGGAAGGTAAAAGATGATGATCCATTATGTAACACAATTGTTCCTACACCTCCAACACCATGTCCACCAGAGACAGAGGAACTCTATTCAGACAATCAGTTCTGTGGTTTGTTAACCAGTAAAGATGGTCCTTTCAAAGCTTGTCACTCAGTAATCAATCCAGATCACTTCTTTGACAGCTGCGTTTTCGATCTGTGTGCACTTGGTGCTGGCAGTTTATGTAAAGCATTGGAAGCTTACGCTGATACCTGTCTAAGAGCAGGAGTCACCCTTGCTTGGAGAAACTCCACATTTTGTCGTAAGTAATTGTTTTGTTTTATAAATACTTTAACATGTAAATAATCTTGTACATCTTGAGTATAAAGAAAAAGATTTAATCTCTTATTTTAATTTTATGGGAGAATAGCACACACATTAAATAGGTACAAATTAAACAGACAGCAATAATATTGTTCATGCAGATCTTCAACCATTTTACATTTTAACTTAATTAAAGCAATGCTAAAGCAAATGCTTTTTATCTTTTACGTTTTATATTTCTCTGTCTTCCCCTTTCACTGTGTAAAGGGGAAGAGAGGGGAGAAGAGATCCAGTGCTGTGCACAGCTGCATCTTTTCTAACCGCTATTCCTCTTTACACAGGGCCTCGAATATTGGCTCCTGCTTCTGTCAATTAAATGCAGTGAGGAGGACATAGGGGGGGAGGGGAGGGGCTAAGTCCCGCAGTGCTTGACACATAGCTCTGGAATGAGCAGCCACCATGTGCCTCCATAGCAAATGGCTTGCTATGGGGAGACACGACAAAGAGGAGGAGCCAAGATCATCAGCAGAGGATCAGAGCAGAGGAGGATTGGGGCCTGTCTGTGCAATACTATTGCACATAGCAGGTGAGTATAACATGTTTGTTATTTTAATTAAAAAAAAAAACCTTTAGTAACAATTTAAGGTGACCCTGCAAGGGGATCAACAAAATTAGACAGGCACTAACCTGTAAAAAAATAACTCTATACATACTTGTCCATCAGATTATTTGATAAAACATCACCCTGTAGAAGAGCTTCCAGGTTGGTAGAATAGAGGTGTTCCCAATGGCCACTGAGGTTCCTTCTGCTGACCACATTAGTAGCAGCAAGAGACAGTATTGACTTAGAGGCTATTATGAAGAACTGCAGCAGCCAGCGGCTCAAGACATACTTTTTAACATACCTATGTGGTATCACATGGACACTTTGAGGTCCCCTACACAACAACCTTTTAGAAAATGGAGTGATGTACAGGTTATGAAAAAAAGCTTTTTTATTCACAGTTTTGTGCAAGTGCTTTTAATAATTTTGTTGCCTCTATCACAGGACCACTTGAATGTTTAGCGCTATGAAAAATTATGGTACATTATTATTTATGAGCAAAGGAAGCTAATATATAGTTTGCAAAGCAACATGAACTATTGATATTTGTTTTATTTCAAAAGTTTTTTTTGCAATCCTATTATAAAGTGTGTCAATATTACTGTAAGGCCATTACTATGTGTGATGAAATTCCATAGGAAGACCAGTAAAGCAAATGTTTATGCTCTACAACACCCCTCCTTTTAAAGAGTCTCATCCCACTAATCTTCATTGAGTATTATACATACAGTATTTACAGAAAACACAATTTAAATACCATTTTCATGTTTTTTTCTTTGTGATCATGGAACCACAAAGCCCCAACTCCTTAGGTGTAATGTGAAGGGCTGACAATAGGGCTAAATAATATGGAGCAGTGAGGTCACTGGAGACTGTGCTTTGCATTGGAATATAGCTTAACTACCTGCCGACCGCAGATAGCCGAATGACGGCTTCACTGCGGCCGGCCAGTTCTGGGTGGACGTCAAATGACGTCCCCCCAGAACGCGCTCTCCTGCGGACACAGCTGATCACGTGATGTGGTAAAAGGCCAATCACAGCAGCCTTTTACCACCTGATCAGCGGTGTCCAATGACACGCTGATCAGAGGGAAATGCAAGTGCCAGTTCTCGGCTGCACTTTCCTCACGCTGAGAACCGGCAGTTGTCAGAGCGGGGATCGGCACCGATCATCAGGGCACTGATGATCAGTGCCCTGATGATCGGTGCCCAGCAGTGCCACCCGCATGTTCCACCCACCTGTGCCCAGCAGTGCGCCCACTAGCTCCGTCCACCTGTGCCCAGCAGATCACCCACCTGTGCCCAGCAGTGCACCCACCTGTGCCCAGCAGTGCACCCACCTGTGCCACTCTGCAGTGCCACCTACCTGTGCCCAGAAGTGCCACCTACATGTGCCCAGCAGTGCCACCCACCTGTGCCCCACCATCTGTGCCCACCACCTGCCACCCACCTGCCTCCCACCTGTGCCCACCCACCAGTGCTGCCCACCAGTGCCACCCACCAGTGCATCCCAGCAGTGCTGCCAGTCAGTGCCACCAGTCAGTGCCCAGGGGTTGTGCCAGTCAGTGCCGCCAGTCAGTGCCCAGCAGTGATGCCAGTCAGTGCTGTCTATCAGTACCCATCATCACATCAGTGCCGCCTATCAGTGCTGCATATTAGTGCCGCCTATCCGTGACACCTCATTAGTGCTGTCTATCAGTGCCGCCTATCCGTGCCACCTCATTAGTACTGCCTATCAGTGCCCTTTAGTGCTGCCTATCAGTGCCCATCAGTGCCGCCTATCAGTGCCCATCAGTGCTGCCTCATCAACGCACATCAGTGAAGGAGAAAAAATGCCTGTTTGAAAAATTTTATAATAGAAACAAAGAAACTTTTTTTTTTTCAAATTTTTTTGCATTTTTTTATTTATAGCGCAAAAAGTAAAGCGCCCAGTGGCGATTAAATACCACCAAAAGAAAGCTCTATTTGTGAGGAAAAAATGATCAAAATTTCACATGGGTACAATGTTGCATGACTGCGCAATTGTCAATCAAAGTGCGGCAGCGCTGAAAGCTGAAAAAATTGGCCTGGTAAGGAAGGGGGTATAAGTGCCTGGTAGGCAAGTGGTTAAACTTCTACTTTAAGGTCCCAGTAGTGATTCCCTAGTGGTGCAATCAACAGTATGATCATTTACACATAAAGGGAAAAGCATACAGCAGATCTATCCACAGACTAAAATGTTTACAAATGGAGAGAGGAGGGGTATATATTCAATAGACAATTTGGTCTTTTTCTGTGATTCTATGTATGTGTTCAGAATAATACAATGTAATTGCTAATAGTTTTCCTAAACAATCAGCACATTATTCTTATCCAAATGTGACAACTCTTATCAGTACTTGTAAAAATCATCAGATTTCACTAGGTCCTTTTAGTCTTAGAAACAGTCCCATGACATGCCATTGGTTGTAATTATGATCTTTGATCAACAAAGCCTTTTCTTTTGCCTTGTTTTTTTAACTATTATATGATATAGATAACTGTTATCTGTCCTTGTTATTTAGCCATCCCATGTCCTGCCAACAGTCACTACAATCCTTGTACCAGTGCTTGTCCGGCCACATGCCTGGACCAGAGTGCTCCGAGTGACTGCAATAAGCCTTGTACTGATGCTTGTGCATGTGATAATGGCTTTGCGCTCAGTGGACACGCTTGTGTTCCTGTCAGTGAATGTGGGTGTTTTTATGATGGAAAATACTATCAGGTAAGTAATGTAATTTTATTTTATCAATGGTTATCAATTGTTAGTTTTTTTATATGTGGTCCAATTAGAATATGAAAACATATACCTGTATTTGTGACATTCCTACTGATTTCTTATTAGCTGACAGCCAGTGTATTTATTATTAAAACTGCATACACAAGGAATTATGGACACTATCATTGCTAACTGTCTGACTTACTGTAGTTGTAGTGCTTTCTAATTCGGTGCCCTAGAACAGGTATGCAATGAGTGAAGTCAGAACTGCTGATCTGCATGCTTGTTCTAGGTTCTTAAGAGCATAAAAAAAACAGTAAATCCCAAGTATAACCAGGCATTCAGCATACCAGAAGTAGAGGTCAGCAATAGAAGCCTGTATGTTCGTCTCCATAAAGATTTCCTTAAAGCAGTAGTAAGTCCAAAAAATAAATAAAAACAACGTGGTCTCACCGCCGGCACATGTCATAATTATGCACCACATACTAGCACATTATGACAGACTTATCTAAATAATGGATCCCTCGGAAGGTACATTGTCACTGTTGAAAGGGATTCCATCTTCACACGGTCTTCCTTCCAGGTTCACGGGCTTCGGCTGTTTTAATGGCCGAGCCGCA